GGTGGTGTGAAATGCAATGGAACAGGAAGGAGGACATTGGGAGTGGGGAGGGAGCACCACCACTTCTCTGCCTCTGCCCTGATTAAAAACTGAAAGAACTGCAGATGGTGTAAATCAGAAACAAAGTCAGAAATGGCTGGAAATGTTCAGCAGGACTGGCAGCATCTATGGATAGAAATCAGAGTTAACTTAAGGAAGGGTCACTTGACACACAACATTAACTCTGATTCCTCTGCACAGATGCTGCCAGATCTGCTGAGATTTTCCAGCAATTTCTGTTTTTGTTCTGCCCTGATTAACCTCATGGTGGATGGCCTCCTTGCCCAGTCACTAATTGAAGCCCCCCAGTGGGAACGATTAATGCTCACTTCAGGGCCTCAGCCTGCTGCAGCTGGTTGTAGCCAAGCAACTGGCCAGGTTTTGCCATGTGGAGTGCACGATGGACAAGCTTGTGCCAGCTTGCTTACAGGCTTCCGGTGGGGGTTTTGTTCAAAGGCCTGATTGAGACACCCAGCATTGCAAAGGTGGGGGTGAAATCAACCCTTCCTGTCAACTATTACCAGTGCCTGCATGGCCCTGTCCATGATCATGGGCCTCAGATGTGCGTTGTACCTGTCTGGCACCACTGCTGCTCCACAGAGCTATTGGCATCTGATTGGGATTTCTGCTCTTGGAATTCTTGATCCAAGCAGAGAACTATTGTTGGCAGTTTAAGTGCCTGACTTGCTTTTAATTTGGCAGACAGCTCTCCAGCCTGTGGGCAAACACCTTGTTGCCTCTTCTCACAACTTTTCTTTTAAAATGCCTCAGGATGTTTTATTTTTAAAGACATTATGTGAATGAAGTTTTAACTGAAAAGGCCGCAATGCCCAAAACTCACTGTCTATTGCATCAAAATAAAATGTAGACATCGGTAAGTTAGAGAGATATTGGTAAAACAGAAAGAGACTTTATTAGTCAAGACTTGTAATAGGTCATTTATTGCTGGCTACTGTTAGTGGCAATCTGTGGAGATTGCGTACTAATGAGGGAATGCTCTGCATCTTGTGGGTATGAATGTTCAAAAGTGGGCATCGTAAGATGCTCCACAAGAGATGTGGAGGTAAAAATAAGGCACATAAATTTGTAGAGAGGGTGGGAATTTACTGAGCCCATGGACGTAGGGGGCAATTGTCCCCGCTAAGTGTGGAAGAGCTAACTGATGAATGGAGGTGGGCAGCCAATTTAAATAATTGGAGACCACATCAAATGATTTTCCTGGCCCCTCAACATTTTGCCTGTGGTGAAGCAGCCTCTATTCTCACTTTCCCCGCTAACTGTGGTAACCTAAAAAAAATGCCTATGCATTTATGAGACTGCAACATTGGCATGCGTGAAGTCTGAACATGAGCAGAAGAGCATGAATGAAGTTAGATAGTGGTGTTCTATATTGCTTAAACACTATAACATACAAGCTCTACAATTGGAATGGTGACAGGGGTTCACTTTTAGAGATAGAATAATCAATGAAGCAAATAATGTTGGATTATATGGCGAAATCAGCACTAAATACATGTGAAACTGTGCAATGCTCTGGTCAGATTACCCTGCCACTAAGACAGAGGAAATACTAGAGTAGGGAAGAGTTGTGAGGCCAAAGTCTAGTGAGAGATCATTTAGTTATGAAATGTTTTGAAAGATTTGGGGCTGAACCTTATGATTTTTTTTCTCTGTCAGTTTCATCAGATTTCATGGAGGGTTTCTCTCCATAAAACCTGGCGAGATGTCTTACCAAACGCACCACATTAAAGAGCTACCCACTCCTATGGTGATCCTCTTATGTATTCTAACCCCATGCTCCTGCCTAATGTTCTTGGAAAAACCGGTTACTCACTTGATAGCCCCTGGCAGACTGGCATCCCTGGCAGTCATGTCATATTTAAAAGGCCGCTGTACATCCAGGATGAGCACTGGCATTCACAAGCTGCCCTGCTCATTGAAGGACATTCTTTCCAAAGATGTTTGAGAAAGGGAAAATAGCATCACATTTCTCCGACATGAACCTGGAGGTCCTGGTGGACAGGGGTCGTCTGCATGAAGGATGCCTCTTCCTGGAGGACCGGCAGAGGAGGTCTCACCATTCCAGGATATGTCAAGTTTCTCTCAAATACGATAAAGCAACAACTGCCCTGAGCCACCTGGGGGCAGACAAACATCACTAAAATCTGCAGAGATAGTAGGAACTGCAGATGCTGGAGAATCTGAGTTAACAAGGTGTAGAGCTGGATGGACACAGCAGGCCAAGCAGCATCAGAGGAGCAGGAAAGCTGATGTTTTGGGCTTAGACCCTTCTTCTAAAATCTGCAAGCTTCCCCAAAGAGATTGGCTAATTTGGGCAGCACAGTGGCTCAGTGTTTATCACTGCTGCCCCACAGCGCCAGGGACCTGGGTTCAATTCCACTCTCGGGCAACTGTGTGGAGTTTGCATGTTCTTCCCGTGTCTACATGGGTTTCCTCTGGGTGCTCTGGTTTCCTCCCACAGTCCAAAGATGTACAGTTTGGGTAGATTGGTCCTGCTAAATTGCACATAATATCCAGGGATGTGTAGGTTTGGTGGATTAGCCATGGGAAATGCAGGGTTACAGGAATGGTAGGGTGGTGGGATGCTCTTCAGAGAGTTGGTATGGGCTGAATGGTCTGCTTCCACACTGGGGATTCTATGATTTGGGGTTTGTCTCCTACCTTACTCTTCCACCAAGCACTCATACATCATTATGGTAGGCGTGCTAATTACATATTATCGCGTATTAATTTTTTCAGATCTTTGCAGACTGGGGTCCATCATTTTACTGCCTGCATAGGCTTACACAGAGCTCATACATGTTGCACCCAAGAATTGGTTTGCAGTTCCATTCTGAAGAAGGGTCACTGGACCGGAAACGTTAACTCCCATTTCTCTCTACTGATGCTACCAGATCTGCTGAGTTTTTCCAGCAATTTGTTTTTGTTTCTGATTTCCAACATCCACAGTTCTTTTGGTTTTTTGTTTTGATAAGTTGTTTGCTATATCTGTTTCAGTAAAGCTTCCTGGTCAATGCTCAATGCACAGTTTTGCCCATGTGTGCCGAACTGGATAAGGTGTTCTATCTTACTATCTAACAGTAACGAGTGTAGCAATTGATAAAAAAGGGTATGAAATTCATTATTTCACTCAGTGCCCATAACTCTTTAAGAAATCAGCTACACAACTGCACTAAGTAAAAGAAGAATTCTTAAAGTATTCTATCTAGCATTTCATACTTTCATTGTTTAATCAAATAAAGAGGAAAGTTAATGTTTAAAAATGATAAACATCGGTACCTTTCAGAAGTTAAGTTTTAGGTTTTAGTATTGCAGTGTTAAAGTGCACAAGTCACTTGCACCAACTGCTTTCTCTTGTGCTGGCATTAATTCCCATAGAGAGAATAAAATTATCCTGATTCCAATGGATGTATTAATTGGGCAACTCATAGTTTGGCTGTGTAAGCAAGCTTCAAAGAAAAATCCTAAAGTAATTGTGATTATTAAGACACTATTATGTGTTTCAATTGTGGTTCAGTGGAGCTTTCTTGCTACTCCATAGACTTGAGCATAAAATATAGGCTGACCCTTTAAACTGGTAATGAAGCAGTGCTGCACTGAGATGTGTGGTGGGTGTGGGCAAGGGGTGTGCTGCCTTTCACATGAGATATTAAACCCCAGTCTCCATACTGCCTGCCCTCTAAAATGCACGTAAAGGATCCCATAGCAATTGTCTAAGAAATGCAGGAGAGTTCTCCTTATGGCCTGACAACCATTTGTACTCCAACCAGCATGACCCTGTGAAACAGATTATCTGGTTATTATCTAATTGCTTTATCAAGAGAACTTGCTATAAATGAATTTGTTGTTATGTTTCCTAATATAGCAATAACTGCACTTCAAAAATGTTTCAAGATCTGCCAAAACACTTTGGTTTGGCCTGAAGCCATGGAAGCTACTATATATATGTCAGTCTTTCACATACAGTTAAGCAATTAACTGAATCTGACTCATTACTCATTGTTAAATCTAATATGGCCTGTCACAACTGGTTCATTGTAGAATCACAGGCCATGTGTTAGAACAATAGATGTGTATTATCTTTGTCAGCCATGTGTCTGTTGCACAAAAAATCACAACTACACTTCGGAATTTCTCAGTCGGCTTTTATACCTGAGGGGTTCTTCAAGCACCACCTCCTTTTAAAGCTGTGAAATCCCAAGTTTAATGTGGTTGTGACGGAGTCAAAAGTTTAATATTTGTTGTCAACTTACTTGAGAAAAACGGTGCAGATTCTTCCTATATTTTTTGATAGACATATAAATTCTAAGTTTGCCTAGAGGCAGTACAACATTACTGAACCAATTTTTCACCGATTTGTCCCATTGAAATATTACACCATATTGTTATTAACCACAGGCAATACAATAATGCCTAATCACATGATGCCACCAGAGTTTTGTCAGTCAAGTGTTTATCACAGTTTAAAGTTGTATGCAGTGAAGGATCAGTCCACCTATCTGGGCAGCACAGTGGCTAGCACTGCTGTCTCAGCACCAGTGACCCAGGTTTGATTCCACCCTTGGATGACTATGTGGCATTTGAACGTTCTTCCTGTGTCTGCGTGGTTGTGCTCTGGTTTCTTCCTGTTGTCCAAAGATGTACAGGTTGGGTGAATTGGCCATGCTACAGTGCCCATAGTGTCCAGGGGTGTGTGGGTTGGCTATGATGGATGTGGGGTTACAGAGATAGGTGGGGTGCATCTGGGTGGGAAGCTCTTTGGAGGGTCAGTGCGGACTCAATGGGCTGAATGATCTGCTATGACAATGGAAGTTTGTTAGATGTTTTCTATGGTTAGAAAGTGCAGTCTACATTCTACTAAAGGTGAGCTTCAGAGAATTTATGCCCTATATGTTTTTCAAAATGAATCACATTTTGAAATAACTGACTTCATAGGTGAATTAATTGTATGCAATTATTGGTTTTAATTTCTCAGAAGTTTATAAGGTATGATAGAAATATTGTAAAATCCCCCTATACCTTAATAAAAAGCAGTTCTGTAACATTTCTACCAAGGCATTTCTTCCTGACAAGTGGTACACAAAGAAAATCATTATGATGAGAACTGAAAGCTTGATTTAATTTTAGTTTTGAAGAGCAATAAATTTTTTAAAATGCAGGTGTATTGGTATAATCAGTGTTCTATCTGAACTATGTGACTGCACAGTAAGCGCCAGGTTTCTGGGCAACCTAAGCACAAACCAGCCGCTTACATGAGAGGGGTGTTTGTCGCCACACAAATGGAAACAATGGAGTTGCACACTTAAGGCTGCACCCAACAACAAAAAAAAATTAGACAGAGAATGGGCTGTTACAAGTGTTGCCGATGCACTTGCATGCCGTAATGTAAGTATAGGTGTATGGTATGCTGCCTCCATCTTCACATTTAAGATTCACTGTCATATTCTGAATATTTGTAGGTTGGCAACAGCTGCACTCCTTTATCATGGTGTCTGTAATAGTGTCAAATCTGGAAAATAAGAGGTCAGCAAAAAAAAATCAGTCCAAATGCTTCAAATCAACAGGGACAACACACATGCATGTTAGGTAACTTGGGAATCAAAGAGTACGTTGAATAGATTATGTGATATATCAGCAATGCATATTGACAACATGATTAGAAGTATTAAATGTTGTAGTGAATTGAACCACACCCTGGATTTTGCGGCAGTAATGATAGTGAAACAGTCGGCTTTCATTCTCTGTGACCGACGGCAACTTCTGGAGTTGCGCACGTGCCCATGGATGTTGCCCACAGTGATTTTAGGCTTAGACAGAGAGGTTACACTGTTGAGCTTTCCCTTGAAGGTAATCAGTTAGAATTAATGAACTGTCAAGACTTCACTTTTAAGCCCTTTCCTTGGTGTAGAAACCCTTGAAACACTTACACCTTGTTGAATAATGCATAACTGCGTTTGCAAAAGTGTGCAATGTTCATAATTATTGCCAAAAAGCTTCACTGGCTCTGAAAAAGTGCTTTCATGTTTGTTGGATGTTCATTATGATTAGAAACTATCCATGTTTTAAAACAGTAAAATATAATGTATTTATATATTATGTACTACTTAACATCGAGTCCAATTGCTTTAGAGTCTGGTTGCGTTCTTCCATGTTTTTTATCTTCACTTCACACCTGGTCCTGGTATGACTTTTAGCACAGTTACCCGCTCTCACATACTCCTAGGCCTTTTAGCATATTATATGGGTTGCATATACCCATTTTCTCCTACTCTTAGCTCTTATTACTCCTTACTCAGCTTTTCTTCTGTCCTGTGCCACTATCCATAATCTCCTTGTTTATTTACCCTTTCATATCTCTCTCTTTCAGGGCTCCATCTCCACCTATCTGTTCACCTCTCCTCTTCCACTCCCGTCCCCTCCCCGAACTTCAGCTTCAGCATAAATACCACATTTTCTTAGCTGCTAACAGTTCCAATGAAGAGTCACTGGACTCGAAATGTTAACTCTGCTTTCTTCCCACAGATGCTGCCAGACCTGCTGAGTTTCTCCAGCAATTTCTGTTTTTGTTTCAGATCTCCAGTGTCTGCAGTTCTTTGTTTCATTTATATATTTTATCTTCTTCCATAATCTCATCTCTATGTCCCAAACTAATACAAAAAATGCTGAAAGTGAAATGTTTCAATTTGTTTCTGTTCCTGCATTGTTTTGTGAAAGAATTTTTAATATGATTGTCTGTCCTGCAGGGTGATATTACTGTTACAGGATACCTGGAGAGCCCCTCAACTTGCCTTCAGAAAGGAGAGGCCTGCACTGCAGAAAGCATTAGGTCTTTGTGGGCAGCTTTTCTTATCGTCTTCAGTAAGCACAGGCATGTCACCACTGGTGGCAAAATCTAGCATACATCTGTGTGACATTTCAGCAACCATTTGCCTTAAATATAACACTTTTTTTTACACCATGGGCTAGTTTGCATATAGGCCAAGTTTTAGGTGCACTGTTGTCTGTAACCCAGTATTTTTTAAAGCTTTATTTTGAATATTGAGGAGATTCTAGCGATCAGAAACAGGCAAATCTTATTTCTATATTTGAATGTACCTGTTTGGGATAACTGGAAAACTAAATCCATTTGTCATCAGAAATGAAATTGAAGTGAACATTTTATGAAAATAATTTAATTAATAATAGCCTGCATAGTGTTGGTAGATTTTACTTTGCCTGACCAAACTCACAGACAAAATTGAAGCAGGAGCAGAATCACATTATATAATGTATCCTTTCTTCCTAAGGGCATTTTAAAGTTATTTTCATACAGATTCGCATTAACAGATGACAGATATATTAAGGTACAGAGAACACTAGAATAATGCCTAGAAGCAACAAGATAGTGGTTGAGATTTCCATTTTAGTGGGTGAGGAGTTGGATCTGAGCTAGGCATTAATATGGTGGTGAAAGTGAGTGAACTTGTCATAGTAAGGACATGAAATATGAAGCTCAGGCATGACATTAAAATGGTGCTGCGAACAAAGCACACACTACAAAGGATTATGTTACTACTTTAGTTGTATTTAAATGTTGAGATGTTATTCTGAAAATTATATAGAGCCCCAGTCGCAAACAAGCTGGAAGACCGATGCAGTTGTTAAAGCATAAGAGGGCATGCAGTCTGAAGACGGGATGAGGGAGACCCCAGTTGTTTAAGAGAAAACATTTAGAGGATAATTTGTTAATTGGGCTCTTCAGCATCAGAAAAAGAGCCCTGAGCAGTACTCTGGAGAATATAGAATACTTCATTGGATTATGGGAGTTAAATTAAGAAGAGGCATTGACATAACTGACCAAGATCGCAAGGCTGTAATGGCCATAATTAGAGTAGACCTCAGAATGAAATAGTTGCTGAAATGTATGTTATAGTCTGGGATACTGGATATGGGAGCCAAACTGAAAAAATGGTGAATTATCCTTTACATCTACTTCAATCTTCACATTGTCAATTCTGGTAAATTCTTAATCTTGTTTGTTATTGTATTAGTCTGCATTATTTACTGGACCCATAATATTTCATGGGTCTTAATTATAATGAAAATATTACATGAAAGCACTTACTCAAAACGTCCAGGACAGTTCCCTTCACATTTTGTCATTGTAACTTCTGCTGAACAGCTTGAATTTTTGGTTATGATATGTTTGGAAGTAAATGACATTTTACAATTGCCTATGAAAAAAGAGGAGTAACGGTTCAATTAAAACTAAAACTCAGAGAAATGCAAATGAAATATTTCTACTATTGTTGAACATTGAAAAAAAATACTTTTAGAATTTGCTAAGAAGTTTGGTAGGAAGTTAGATGATTCAGGCATCATCTTGTTAGGTAATTGGGTAGACATATCTCTACTTATTGTTATGTGGTAATTCAGAATTTGAGTTTGCTGAAAAAAGATTTTGCTAATGCTTTTTGTTGTGTGTTTATCAAGATAATTTGCAAGAAAAAGTAAAAAAGACATTTAGCCTGAACATGAGGACTTGGCTGATTTGTCAGTAATTTACTTTTGATAGGTCATTTACATGGATAATATACCAGTTAATAATGACTGACAGTAAACAGCCAAGCTCTGTTGAAATTTTAAATCAGGCAGAATTCTGAGTGGTCAAGTCATTGTCCGAAGAAATAAACCAGACAATGACTATCGACTGTTTTGTTGAGTTTCAACAGGTGCGGTCTCTATATGTATTCTTTCTGCATGTAAAGAACAGTCAAAGGGATACAGCGTTGTTACAATCTGTCAGTCTTTGGAACATATGGCCTACATACATCACATGGGCACTGAAATTCATATACCACATTACCCATTTGTGTGGTAGGCAGAATGTCTTTTTGAGTTGATGGCAGCAGCCTGTTACTGGTGAACTCTACTCATGTTGCTACTTCAGAGTAGCAAAGTGAAACAGCTGAATTTACCTGTTGCTCAAACTTTCCGGATATTTTACACTTCCAAAGTAACCTAAGGTAAACTGGGCACTTTTCAGGACTAAATGCTTTAGGCCTGTCCATGAGTTTGTAAGATTTACTGTAAGGTTTTGGAGTAGATCTGTAGCTTGGGTTGTGGGTGTTGAGATCGGTTGGCTTGCTGAGCTGGTTTGTTGTTCCGCAGACGTTTCGTTACCACGCTGGTAACTGATGATGTTACCCAGCACGGTAACGAAACATCTGCGGAACAACAAACCAGCTCAGCGAGCCAACCAACCTCAAGATTTACTGTGATCGATCATCTGATCAGTGTAACCATTATCCTGCAGAATGGCTACTATAATACGGTTATTGATGGCACTCTTTTACCCTCCTGTAAGGAATTAGCTGTTAGCAGAGTTTGGCTTTCACACTTGAGATATCCCCTCTCTGTGCCCAGAAATTGCTGGGATTAAGGAGCTGAAGGTGGAAATGCCACCTACTCTGAATGCTGCTGGTTAACCAGAAACAGGCAGCTCTCCATTGCCATCAATGCCTTTGGGAGCAGCGGTATCTGCTGGTAATGCATTGCCTAGAGGGCCCAGATCAAAAAAGGATCCAGAACAAAGATTAGTGAAGGTGGGACAGGAGTGGTAGGGTGAGGGTCACTGATGGTGGGGATATGTAATTTGGGAGTGGGACATGTTTGGGAGGGATGGAAAGTAGAAATTGGACATAAGGGGAAGGGGCTCCCTCCATCTCCCATTCCTGACACTAAATGCCTTGAATAGGCAGCGAGTGCCTCTGAGTGAGTCCCCATCCTCCTGCTGGGATCCCCAGGTTTGTATTTTGGATTACCTGTATAACAATATTGCGACCAAGCAGTGGATGAATCCCAGAGGTGATAGGATATCATCCTTAAGTGGTCATTAAATTTTGCCCTATGTGTATGTGTCATTCTGAACAATATAGTTAATCACTAAGCAAAACCAGAAGTTTTGGAACCCAATTTCCTTTCTATAACATCATTATCGAAGCATTGATTTTAACACAGAGTAGGAAAGAATGTTCAATAAGTAACCAAGATTGTTCTTTTTAAAATGTCTGAAACAAATTAAAACAGAAATTGTTGGAGAAACCCAGCACTGTGCCTGGGGTGGCACACTGTCTGTGTGGAGTTTGCACATTCTCCCCGTGTCTGCGTGGGTTTCCTTTGGGTGCTCCAGTTTCCTCCCACAGTCCAAAGATGTGCCGGCTAGGTGGATTGGCCACGTTAAATTGCCCGTAGCGTTCAGGGGTGTGTGGGTTATAGGGGGATGGGTCTGTGTGGGATGCTGCAAGGGTCGGTGTGGACTTGTTGGGCCTAAGGTCCCGTTTCCACACTGTAGGGATTGTAGGTCTGGCAGCATCTGTGGAGAGAGAATCAGAGTTAATGTTTTGAAACCAGTGACCCTTCTTCAGAACTGGTCAAAGTTCAACAGGATTCCCTCCGTTTTGTCTCCAAAGCTGCTGCCAGACTGTCGGTTTTTTCCAACAATTTCCGCTTTTATTTGTTTTAGATTTCTGCACCATCTGCAGGTGTTTGCTCTACTGGAAAGAAATCAATGATTACCAATGGTTTCATTGCGACACCAATGTGAGCAGTAATCTTCCTCCCAGAAACTTTCATTCTAAACAAACAAAATTAATGTCACATAGTTACTACTGTGAAGAATATTTGAACATGAAAAACAAGAGTCATGCAAAACCCTGAAAATATTCATAAATATTTGCAGTTATCTGATTTTTCTGCCGAAACAAGAGTCTGTTTTGTTTCCAGTTCCAGGAAAATGTGTTAATTTTTTTTCCCCTTTTACATTGTTATAAGCTGAGCAGAAAAATTAATTCAATTCTTTACTCTAATAATAAAATAATGATAGTACACAAGCAATTCCTTACTTCTTTTATCTGTTTCCCATGTAATGGGCTACAAATCATGTGTAACTAATTTTGTATCAATCAAATCATAGGCCAAAATCTAAATGCTAAGAAATATAACTGATAGTTTTTGTTTATTATTATATATTTGAAACTGAATATTATCCCTTATGCTACTGAAACCACTGTATGCGTTCATCAGCTGCACTTTCTTCCATTGATTTCCATGCTAACTGCCTTCACATTCTATAAACTCTAAATGGTGAAAGGTTACCAGTATAGCCTGTTGTAAGCACCATCACCCCTCTCCTCGCTGACCTACAAATAATTCTTCATCCTCTCAGCTGACTTCATACATTTGTGGCCTTTATCATTTTAACTCCATTCATCAGCTAACTTCCCTTAACTGCACAACTGTCAGCCAACTGGTCTTTCTCTAAGCTCTCTGCCTCTCCACTTTCTTTTCCAACTAGTGAAAAATGTTCTTGACCCATCTCTTCAATCAATCATCCTAATCTTTCCCTTTCTGGCTTGATATTGATTATCCTTCCACTGGCCTAGGGTGATATTTACATCAAATATATTATAAATGAAGGTTTATGAATTTCTAAATATTTTCAAAAACATGAAACATGATATAAATGATCCATATATAAGGATATTTTCCTTTACTTCAAATTCTTTATGTTTCAAAATAGCATGTGTATTTATCCAATAATCATCATTACAATAAATCCACTTCAAATATTTTGGTTGAACCATTGTTCTGTGTTTACCAATATCCCGCAAGATGCAAGAGTAAGAGACACCTGGTAGGTAGAAACAAAACACTTTACCAACCTTACAACAGCATGGTCTCTCTGTAATTACAACTTGAGAATTCAAGCACATGAAGATGGTACATGAATTTGTGGGATGAGACCATCTTTCTCCTTCCTAGGAAGGAAACACACAAATATTAATAAGTGACCAATGAGGCATTTCCAAATGTATTAACCATCTTTATTTTTGTACCTTGGGGAGGGATATTTATCCAGCTTACATTCAGGGATCACATGAATGCAGGGAATTTCTGAAACAACAGTCGTTTTCCTTGCAAGCGGGTACTTTCATCTCCTGACCAATTATTTTGAAAAACGAGGAGATCCAGAAAAATTTTCAAAGAATTAATTCTTTTGGGTAGCTGACTCAGTGGTAGATTTCAGTCTATCCTCAGTAGGATTTCTTAGAATTAATAAGCTGTTTGCACATTAGATTCATCTTTTTACAATAAAGCAATTGGTTCATTGGTTAAACCTACTGGTTGTCTTACGGAGCTTTTGGCAGCAAGATGGAGGTTGGAATCCTATGGCTGAATGATGGGAGCTGTGGCGAGAAATCTGGGAGCATTGTATGAAAAGTCCAGTGCAGTCTTTCTTGACACTGGGACTAACTCATTGCATTTTAAACTGAGCTCAGAGTGTTGAGATGAGCAGTGGTGAGTTGCCTATTTATAGGGATTATTGCTTGTTAACAACTTTATTAACTGCACATCTCACCTCATGAATATGCAGCTTTCTACCCTACTATCTGCCACGAGCAAATGAGATGCCAACAATTCTTGATATGGAAGTCAGCGTGGGTACCTGCAGGTTCCAGCTCATTGCTCATTCTTTCATGTTGGAAATCAAGCACCAACATCTCAGGATTCATTCCATGGGCACCAGCAACATGCCCCCTTTTGTACATGGACATTGGTATCCAACAACTGTCAGCCTGTAATTACCTTTATGAAATGTCTGCGATCCACGTACAGTACTCTTCTGTAATTCAATGCTACACCTGGTGTACAGCAACAACAATCATGCAATGATGCTGCAAGTACACTTTATACTCAGGGATATGCACCCAGGTCATGGATTGGATCAGGCTGCATCTCAGGGATGTTCACTTGCTCTCTCAATGCTCACTCGCTCTAAACCCACCTGTTTGCTCGTGGCATTTCTGTCTTTGTGCATCCAGACAAACAATGGCATTCTAAAGTTGTTGTCCTTCGATGGCAACATAATGGCACCGTATCCACAAAGCCACACTGCTCATGACACAGCTGGCATTGCTGATATTCCCTCACACTCACAACTCATATTACACAACACAATTTAAATGTCCTTAGCTACATCCTGTAAATAACCATCCGCTCTAGTTCACCACTACCCTGTACCCAGTACCCATTCCTGTACCCTATTTTGTCGTTCTGCAATAGGAGCCATCATTTACTGGCAAGCAATTTGAAACATGAGCTACATTTAGTGCCAGCAGAAAAGAAGACAAACAAAATAGAGGCTGCAGTTGGCACGCACAATGCAAACCAAAATGCTGGTGTCTTGATCAATGACAAATGTACATTCCAAGATTTTCTGTTGCACACAGCTCTCATCTACTGGAAATGAGTGTTAATCAGGTTCTATGTGGTATTAGTGCCCGATACAGCCGTGCTCTGTCATACATGACAACAGCTTCCTCCATCCCAATGTTCTCATCCTCCTCTGCTCTCATTTCTCCAATTCCTTAGCATCTAACACATCAGCTCATTGCCTGCTTTAATCGTGCAGAGCACAGCACATCAAGATGATGCAGCACACTCTGATCTCAGAGTGAAGATGATCATAGGTAGCAGCAACCAAAATATGATTAAATTTTACATTCAGTTTGAGCGATAGAGGAGTAGGTCTGAGACTTTTTTTAAAATAAAGGGCAATTATCATGCTATGAAAGCAGAGCTGGCTAAAGTGAATTGTAAACTGGGTGGATCAATAGGGATACATTGTAGATATTTAAGGGGATATTTCAGAACACATAAAATAGCTACATTGCAAAGAGTAAGAAAAATTCCAAGGACTGAACGCTCCATCTGTGGTAGAAGAGAGAGTCTGTATCACATCTAAAGAAAAAGAAAATTGTGCAAAAAACAGGTGGCAGATCAGAAAATTTGACAGAATATAATTAAACAGAAATGAATGACTAAGAAATTAATAAACAAAAAAGTGTATGAGAGAATGCTAAATAGAAATTTAAAAATGGATAGTAAAAGTCTCTATAAATTATTTACAGTTAACAAAGTCAGCATTGGTCCTATAGAAATGCGACTGATTATGGAAAATCAAGAGATGGCGGATGATTTAACTAGGTATGTTGCATCAGTCTGCATTATTGAGGTTATAAGTTGTTTCTCAGAAGCGCATTAAATCTGGAAATGGAAGGGAGGAACTCAAGCAAATCAGAATCATCAAAGAGGTAGCACTGAATAAATTGTTGGAGCTACGGGCCAATTAGTGCACAGGTCCTGATGGAAAAATTAGTGGTTGCTCAGATAATTGGTGCATTGGTTTTAATTTTCCAAAATGTCCTAGATTCAGATAAGGTGCCATTAGATTAGAAGGTAGCAAACGTAACTTATTTAATCAGAAAGAGGCGGAGTCAGGAAGTGGGAATACTATGGGCAAATTAACTTAATATCTGATGTTGGGAAGGTTTTGGAAGCTATTCCTGAAGAAGTTATTGCAGGGAGACATAGAAACATCGAAAATAGGAGCAGGAGTACACCATTCAGCTCTTCGAGCCTGCTCTGTCATTCAACATGATCATGGCTTATCATCCAACTCAAGATCATGTTCCTGCTTTCGCCCCATACCCTTTGATCCCTTTAGACCTAAATTCATGGTAATCAGGCAGAGTCAACATGGTATTTTGTTTTGAAAGGAAGATCATGTTCAACCAAGTTAAAAATGTACTTTGATGAAGTTGAGAAAACATAGTTTGGAGGATGCTTGGAAAAGGAGGAAATAAGACAGTGTCTGATCTTAATGTAACCAACAGAACATTGGAGACCCCGTTAGTGAGAAATATGTAGCAAGTTCATTATGGTTAGATTTATTTTCAGTTTAATTTAGATTCTTGCTTAATTACATTTATTTTGTAGACATCTAACTTGAGGCTTTATGTAGAAGGCCCTCCATGGAAGTGTCATACCACAATTGAACATGGTCTGGGTATAGATTGATCCTGATGTGTTGAATGGATTTTTGTTTAAGAGGTTGTATTGGAGTTTTCATTACCACTTGCCTATTTGTCCCCATAGGATAATGGAGCTGGAGCTTTGGTCTTAATTGGAAATTAATTACAAAAAGTAGATGATCAACAGAATACGTTTAAAGTGCTATTGTAGTTCTTGGTTTATTAAATAGATAGATTTACCAAAAAAAAAATGTGCTAACAGTTATCCTGCTGATCAACCGTTTGATTGCAGCCCATTCGACACATCATATCCTCATTGTTGTATTTAACAGATAGCGACAGATCGTAAATTCAAAGCAATAAAATAGATATGAGATGTTTGTGATGTGGTTGTCTAAAATCTATTTAGCCCCTGGCATTATTGGCCAAACTACGTAGATCTGATAAAAATGTATCAGTAAATGAACACTTACTTCTCTAGGATTTCCTGAATTGTCAATGCAACCTCCACCTATAAAAATAAGGTTATAACCTTCCTATCAGTGCATTTTATTTCCACAAATAACAGATTAAACAAATTACTAATGAAATTTGTGTTGCTTTAATTTCTATTCATATTTATCAAATAGTTCATGGTTAAATTAAAAAAAAGACAACTTACATGAGCTAACACATGTGGTCTTGTTTTCAGAAAGTATCATTCCTTTTGGGCAAAAGCAGCTTTCTGACACAAGATATAATTTCTGGCCAGGGATCAGCATGCTGAAAATCAAGTTTATTTTAACAGTGAAGCCAACACATCAGAATCCTGTTCACAAAATTTCAATGGCATTGCTCATGTTGTAGGGAACTGGTATTTTTGTTTGTGAGTTGTATTCAAGGATGGTCCAGTTCACCATTGAAAGTATTGTGGAGGAACATGGTGAGAAGCTTAGACAGTTCCCCAAGTGTTTGTCATTGGGTCTTTGAAAACACAAATAATGATGTCCTTGCCCATGTGGGAAAACAATGGGCTCCTCTCACTTGGGGAATATTACAAAATGCCTACGTGTCAAAGGGAGCAAATTTTTAGCCAGAGTATCAATTATATAGACTGTTTAATTTAATTTGCATAAAATATTTTAGGAAAGGCACATTTGCAAGTCAGGTCGATCTTTGATATCTTTTACCATTGACAAGAAACTTCACTCGGCCAGACATATAACTACTTTGGCTACATGAGCAGATCAGAGGCAAAGGATATAATGCCCTGAGGATATAACTTCTTGAGAATTCTGCACTGAGCAACTCACCTCCTGACTTTCCAAAGCATGTCCACCATCTACAGAGGGTCAAAAATCAGGAATGGGATGGAATATTCTCCCCTTGCCTGGATAAGTGCAGCTCAAACAACATGCAGGTGCTTTGCACCATTCAGGACAAAATAGCCTGCATGATTGCTACCCCATCCACCACCTCCAATATTTACCCCAACCTCCCCCCACCCCTGGTGCACAGCAGCAGCAGTGTGTACCATCTACAAGATGCACTGCGGAAACTCACCAACACCACCACTTGCAAGTTTCTTTCCAAGACATACACCATCCTGATTTGGAATTATATTGCCATTCCTTCACTGTTGCTGGGTCCTGGATCTCACTTCCTAAAGGTCAGAAGTCACACAACACCAGGTTATAGTCCTTTACCAGGCGAAGGAGCAGCGTTTTGAGAACATGTGATTTCAAATAAATGTGTTGGACTGTAATCTGGTGTCATGAGACTTCTGATCTTATCCACTCCAGTCCAATGTCAGCACCTCCACATCATCCTTCCTAAAGGCACTGTGGGCAATCCTACATAACATGGACCACAGCAGGTCAGAAAGGCAGCTCATCACCACCTTCTCAAGTGCATCTAAGGATGGGGAATAAATATTGGTCTAACCAGGGATGCACATATCCCATGAAAAAGAAAATGGCTTAATTTGTCACCAATCTGCATCCTCTGCATCTCATTTTAGATAAGTTAAATGAAAACAAAAACACAATTTCTTTTCAGAATATTTTTCTGAGAAATAATTTGGTAGATAATTCATTTAACAGAGCGATGGAACCTTTGTCACGTATCCAATGCCTGAGTGTCATGATGGTTAATCTTTGTTTCATTATACCATGCCCTCAGAGTGTGAGTGACAGGTGGAAATACTTACTTATTCTCACACTGGTCATTGTCCTGAGTTTCACACGCCTTATAAATGAAACCTCCAGGGCAGGTATAATCTTGAAAAGCAAACAAACACGTGAGGTGTAAGAATGTATTTTATTAAAGTGTTTCTAGAAAATAACAAATGGGCACCTGTGAACAAACGACCATGAAACACCACAGCGATACTTCTAAAATTTCATTATAATTTGTGAAAGAAAATAAATCAAAGAAACATCCTAGCTTGTCTTATGAGTATTTTATAATTAATGATTTAACTATATAGCAGGCACTCCTTTCTGGATGACTCTGAAATAGTACAAAAGCATCTTAACTTATCCTGAAATTACTTAATGAAACATCTCTACCTTTCTTTATGATGATTCTTAAACCTACTTTTTTGACTAAGCTTTTGATCATCTACTTCATTTCATTTGATCTGAAGTCTAATTTTGTCTCATAATACTCGTGTGCTGCATTTTGGGACTTGATTATTTAAAGGGTTTTATTTTACATGGACACAGTGGCCTTACCCATGAAAACTGGGACACCATGAGCCACTTTTACTGTGGTTTGGCTGTTCAATGGCTCAGAACAAGATTCAGCCTTGATCCAAAAGGAAGACCTGCCTTTGAGATCTGCCCACTTTTTTGGATACACAGGAACTGGAAGGTGGTCGTGGTTATTGAAGGTCAATCACTTCAGACCCAAGCCATCACTACAAGAAGTCTTCAGGGTAGTTTCCTAGGCCCAAATACCATCTGCTGCTTCATCACGACCACTTCCAACGTGAAATCAGAAATAGGCATGTTCGCTGACAGTTGCTCCATGTTCAGCACTATTCGGAACTCAAATATTGAAGCATTCCACAATCTATATGCAGCAAAACCTCAATAACATACAGGTCTGGGCTGATAACTGTCAAGTAACATTTAAGCAACATATGAGCCATACAAGGACCGCCTCCAATGAGAGAATCTAACTATCACCCCTTTACATTCAATAGCATTACCATCACTGAATTCCCCACCATCAACACCCTGAGATTTACCATTGAGTAGAAACAGATTTGGATCAGCCATATAAATATAGTGGCTTCAAGAGCAGGCGAAAGGCTAGAAACTCTATGGTGAATAACTCACCTCCTGCTTTCTCTACCTTGTACACCATCGACAAATTTCAAATGCATTTAAGAGCCTCAATTGACCCAAAGACATACTTGTTGGAAGTAACATCACTGCCTTGGCTCAAGACCTGGAATCAGGTAAAATTCCACCCTGAGGCCTAATTATTGTTTTTATTATTTTTAATTATTTTTAACTGAGAAGACCTGAAGCTCAGTGCCTTGTGCACATCAGGAAGTGAGTGAATGCATTCTATGATTTTGCATCCACTGAAACTAACTCCTAGAAAACTGTGGGAAGTGCATATTCAAAGTCGAGGAGCTGTTATGTACTCCTGGTTCCTGTGTTGGAAAGACAAGAGATAAATGTGGTCTAATCAGCCAGGTTCTAAGCGATACTGTCAGCAGTTTGGTCTTGATCGTGATAAAACAGATTTGGAACGCTCAAACCCTAAACAGAGGTGTGATAGGGCAATTCTGGAATGTTCGCAGAGTATGGCAGATATGTGAAATACTGACTGAAAATGAGATCTGTCTTTTCTTGAACACCTGCACCACTTGGCATTCTGGAGTTTTAAGAACATTAACATTCCCTGTTTTTGGCCCTTAATTTTGCCCTCCCTTACAAATGGAAATATCATCTTTACATCTACTCTATCAAACACTTGATATTCTGAAATGTCTCTTCCTTCATCACTCTTTAATCTTTCTTTTCCCATGGGAAATAGCCACAATCATTTCAACCTCTCCAGATAAACATAGTCTCTCAGTTCTAGAAAAATGCTTGATTATAATTATCCTTACTGCAATATCCATTTGTAAAGTTTCTCCAGTCTACACATACACCTCTATCGTTACAAGCAATGGCAGCAGCTTGCAGGCTGGAACAATCAAATTTTGTTGAGTTTGTATGGCAATGGTCAAAGAGACAAGTGTGGTAATAGCGATCAATTTCTTCACTGTAGAGTTTCCTGCAATCTTGAAATGGTCTACATGGTAAATGATAAAACAAAGAAAATTAAAATTTTGAAGACATTTATTCTTTTATAGCACAATAAACACTAAACTATATTATTTCACAGATTAAATTTATGCTTTGGGGCAATATAAACTCTTAGATTCGAATAGTCCTTTCCAACTTCTAACCAAAAACTTTAGTCTGGAATTTTCAAACTAAAACCCTTACACTGCCATAACCTATTTCCTTACTATTCTGAACTAACTCATTTCACAAACAGAAATATTTCTTACATCTAACCTCAGCTAGGTCTTCTGCAAATTGTAACCAAAATCTTTCCAATCTATGATATTGTTTACTTAAACAAAAATCTTGATTCTTCTTAACCAAAAGTAAGATAATAAATTTCAATGTTTTGATTGTAAAGCTCCCAGAATACAAATAAAGAAATGTAACTTCAATACAACTTCAGGAGAGCTCAAGTCTCTGTTCTCTGACCTATTCTGATTAAAAACCATGGCGCCAGAAAGACTGACAAGTCAATGATTAAACCTTCTCATGTACACAGATCAAAACCCACGTGCCACTTTTCAACATCCAAACTCTAAAATAAATGATGTTAATATATAACAGATATATAAGTAATTATATATCATACACTTTTTTCACAATACAAACACCAGGATCAGCTGAAATATTGGTTAAATCTGGAACCATGAGTTCTCCAACTCATCAAATGTTTGAATTTAATTCTTCATCAATTACACCGTGAGGTATAAGTTGGACAAGAGACTATGAAATACAAAATATAAACTCTTGGATTCAAATAGTCCCTTCCAACTTCTAACCAAACACTTTGGTCTGGACTCACCAATTGTATCTTGCTATATATATTCTCTATATATCTGCAAATTGCATTTTATCAGTTTGTCTTTATCTTTGCAATTTTCTTTCTTGTATTTATTTAGATAAAAGCAAAATATGAATGAAACATTCACATACTTTTCCAAAAGTAGTTTACAAATTGTTTTTTCCGGTTCACATGTTGGAGAGGGAGTTTTTGGACCAGGGCACCCAAGATTTGTAGGAGTTAATTGACAGTATGGCTTATTTGGGTCAGGAACCTTCCAGTCATTTGCAGCAATGTGGCAGCAGTGTTTTGGCATCACCTCCCTATCCCTTTTCATACAGTCATCAACGTCATCCAAGCAAGAGCCTTTGAGAGAAAAAAAACCCTTTGTCATTTACAATAATCTGTGATCTTTCTGAGAGAAATAGTATGATTCTTATCTCATCTTTCAGGAATACAAGTAGTTGAAGATAATGTACACATACCACACTGTCCTTGAGTATTGTTCAGAAAGTAGAGATGTGATAATCTAATTTGAAAGGAATCTCCAAAAGCAATTATGATAGCTTGTATTTCAGGAATAGAAATATATACAGTCTGCTGTTTAGAATATATGTCAATTCCATTCAAACTATAGGGAACAGCCACATTGTCTCCATCAAAAGTTATCTGTAAAGGTGAACAATGGGTTAAAATCCTTAAATAACTAGACTATTTCAGTGTAAATCACATAATATTTTCTGATAATTGAAACACATTCTGCTACAGTTTTCCATTTTACATCACTTTCTGTTCATTCAATGTCACTATCCTTGCTCACTTACATTGATTTTTGTCACCCAATAGTTCTTCCGACATCTTTATTTCCTTTTTATTATCCATCAGCCTAAACCGCTGCCTAGCTCTGAAAGTCCAGTCATTCCAACTCTGCTCTTTTGTGCCCCAGCCCCTTCCACTGCTGCCCTCTGTTGGTCAGAAAGCCTCTAACCACCTGGATTGTAAAACACTCTCCAGTTCTATTACCTCAATTTTCTACATTAGAAGCCTCCTTCTTAAAACCTAGCAATCCTTGCCAAACTTTTCATTTCTCCTCTTTTCTCGAAAGAGCTAAAGGAATGCTATGACAACTAATGATAAGAAGCACAGACAGATATAGAAAGAGTGATTGCAAGTCAGAGTCAGTTAGAAGAGGAAGGAATAGCAGAACTCACAAAATTTAAGATTCTATAAAGGGAAATATATTGAGATGAGGAGCTAAGGTAAAGAATTAGAGTTATTAAAGCATGTTTCATATTTTAAGTTTGTCTTTAAAGTCTTAAGTCTTAAGTTTTATTTACACTAAATTTAGTTAGTAGTCCAATAAATAGAGATGTGGCAGGTCACTTCTGTTTAATTAGAAGCACATCCTGATCCATATGGGAATTTAAGGACATTTCTTGTGTCCTGGACAACAATGTGTTAGTGAATATTATCAGCTCGACCTCTGGGCTTAAGCTGCAGCTGGAGTCTCGGCTATGCATGCACAAACTAAGAGCTATGTGGAGAGCAGATTTCAAGATAGTTTTAAGAGTGTGAAGGCAGAGAGAGAATATGTAACTGCTGAACTACCAAGTGGGATCAGGCATGTATTGTAGGGACTCCATGTGTGCATCTTACTTTCAAATCAATATTCATTTGTGAATACTGGTGTTGTGGACGATTTGTCTGGGGAATGTAACCGTAGCTGGGTCCATGGCACTATGGGCAGTGCAGCTATATGGACATATTCAGAAAAGGAAGCAGGACCTATCAAGAGGTATCTCAAAAATAGTAATCTCTGACCACTTTTGGTATCATGCATGAGTGAGTATAGAAACAAGAGGATTGCGCAGATTAACACATGGCTGTAGAGATGGTACGGGAGGGAAAGGGATAGAAAGGTAATGCCAAAACACTGCTGCCATATTGCTGCAAATGACTGGACAGTTCGGTGACCCAAATAAGCCATACTGTCAATGAACTTTAGATTTCTGGGTCATTGAAACTGGTCTTAGGGGAGGTGAGACCTCAATAGTAATAAAACTGATGCCTGCATGTTTGCAAGTGCTGTTTTAGTGCATGTGAAAAAATGCATGAAACAAGGTAGGTTCAGTTTGTGAACTGCAGGGGAAAATAACTATATATTGTGGCATAAAAGCTTGGTCCTGAATATTTTGGGAAAGAAAATGTTCAGGAAAGATGGAAATCTAAAGAAAGGAGGAGTAGGATTTGTAATAATTAAGGAGAATATAAAAATGCTGCAGAGAGAAGATAGGCTGGGCATTATTTGGAGGCAGTTATACCCACTCTGGCTGAAAAGTTGGAGTGAGCCCACCTCCTCTTGGTTAGGTCATCCCATGTCAGTTTTATGAGCAATTGGCTCAGAGAGAGACAATAATTTAGGAGAAAGCCCAGCCCTGGATGGTCAGCAACTATCCAGTCCCAACAGCACGCTTGAGGTAGTGGCTAATATAGGGACAGCTGGCAATTCCCAATCTTGAGGAGCCATCGAGTTGGATTCAAAGGTCAATGGGGATGGGAGAGGTAGTGGTTTGCCTGGGTCTATCTGGGCTGTGGCAAGCGGAATTGAGCATCAAGTTTGTGAAGGCAGAATGGAAGATCATGTGAGGACCTGTGCATGGTCCCTTTTGAGCACAGGGAACCCAGACTGGATGGATCTCCTCAGACCACAAAAAAAGCAGTCAGATTTCACCTCTTATATGCTGTGCACTCTTGTAATGGGTAAAATACCAACAGAGATAGGAGAAGGCCCTTCGGTGGCCAATAATTGGTCACTTAGAGGCCTCAATCAATGATATGATTGGTGGGACACCCAATATCTTGGTAAAATACCAGAATACCAAAGGTTGCAGGTGGCTAATGAGTTTTGTGCCCAACATGGCACTCAATTTTACATCACTCCTTATGACCAGCCAGCCTAATCTCAGGTGATCAGTGGTAGTACATAAAATTTCATCTGGTATTCTGAGAGGGCTGATGGCAGAATGTATTTATTTCGATGGAAGAGATAACTGAGGTACTATGGGCACCAGGAATACTATCCAGCAGCAAAATTGTAGGATATTAGAGAAAGGCACAAAAATGATAGAGTATTGGTAATTGGGGCCTTATGCATCATAACATAGACTGAAATAGTAATAGTGTAAAAGAGAGGGGATTTGTTTCTGAAATGGTTCTGTGAAATGAATGGATCAATTGTCAGGATGAGAACATTTAGGTAATAGTGATCATTGTATCACAAAGATTAGGTTATAAGTGGAACGCAATAAGGAGCATTATAGGATTAATATATTTAATCTGAGGGAAGACAACTATAATGGGGTGAGAACAGATCATTCTTAGAACAATGGGATACCTTTAAACAGGGAATGATTCAGGTATTTCAATGCACAGTTGTATTATAGGGCAACGCAGGACAACCATAGGGAGAGCCCCTTGGATGATAAAGGAGATAGAGTGTCAGCTGAAGCAGAAAAAAGAGGAAGTATGACAAATGTCAGGTTGATAATGTAAATGAGAACTAGGCTAAGCTTAGTCAGACTAGAGTGGAAGTGAGAAAGGAAAAAGAACGGAGGCAAAGTTAAGTATAAGAAGACTCCAGCAGGTAAAACAAAAAAAAGATCCAGCAGTCCTCTATAAGCATGTAAAAGTGGAAGGAGAGTAGGGGCTAAAAAACATATCTACAGCTGAAAGCACAGGAAATAGTCAAAGAACTAAATCAATATTTTGCATTTGTCTTTAATAAGAATGCTGCTCCTGCTCCTATTTTATATCTTTCTAATTCTACAGCAGGTGCTCAAACAGACATTAGGAAAAATATATGCACAAATTGCTGAAGGTGACAATATGAATGAGAATGTGTCTGAAGGGGCATTTGGGATCTTGGGTTTCACAAATGGAGAATGCAGAACCAAAGAAGTTATGATTAATCTTCATAAAACTGTGTAGTGGCCTCACTTTGATAATTGTCTCCAATTTTTTGCACCATAATGTAAGAAGGATGTGAAGTATTTAGGGAGAATGCAGAAATGTTTTAGCAGAATGATTGCAGGGATGAGCTACTTGAGATTTGTGTATAGACTGGCTATTCTCCATAGTGAAGAGAAGTTGAAAGAAGAGAGAAATTACCTTCACCAGAACTATCTTGTTTGTTTACTCAATGCCTTTATAAACCAAACCCAAGGATCCCATATGCCCATATAAACACTTTCTGAACTTGCATTGCCAACTTCAATGATTTGTACACAATATGCCCCTAGGTTGCTGTTCCTGCACCTCCCTTATCTCTGCTGAATGGTGAATGATCTGAAATATTAACTTTGTTTCTCTCCACATTTGCTACCTGACCTATTGAGTATTTCTAACATTTGCTGATTTTGTTCCAGATTTACAGCATCTTTAGTATTTTGTTTTTGTATTTATTTTGAGACAAGATTTATAGAATGTTTAAAATCATGACAAATCCAGTTGGGCATTTAGAGAGAGACCATTTCCATTTGTGGCAGGGTAAAAAAACCAGAGGATACCAAGTTAAGAAGATTAAGGCAAAAGAATCAATATGACAAGAGTAATAATTACATGAAACAAATAGTTAGGATTTGGATTTCAATGCCTAAAGATGTGATGGAGAGAGATACAAGTGTGGCATTCAAAGGGGAGGTGGATAATTGTCTGGAGAGAAAAATAGCATTGCTTTGGGAAAAGGACAAGCAAGTGGAACTTACTGCATTGTCCTTTAAAAGAGCTGTTATAGAGGCCAACCATTCTCTGATTCACTCAAACTGCAACAACTCTCTAATGCTACAACTTTTTACTGGTTTCACATTTAATTCTCTTTATATCCTATGTACAATATTTTCTATTAAAGGGTCCAATTTTAACCATTTCAAAATGTCACGTCTCACACAATTAACGATCTTAGAGGAATAAACAATCCAAATTTGCTGTTTATTGTATTGTACTTACCAGGTGCTGACTCCCATCTGTAACAGTTACAACACTTTCATTGTAAAACATGACTATCCCTCTCACGCAAGACATGGGCAGGCCCTCAAAACAGTAATAATTATCGACTAGAACTGAGAAATTGTATTTGGGAACTCGTTCTTCAACTAGTGTGTACGTGCAATTATCGAAGAAATCATACTGTGTACCACCAAAAGTGAGATAGTGGGGGTCTCCCCAGACTTGACATTGGCCTGAAAGAAGATAGGGTCGGGGTGAAAAGGAGACTCGTTAATCATTTAAAAACTGTTTTAAATAAAAATAATCAATTCAAAAAATAGATGATACTTACAATAACAATACCATTTCTCACAACCATTTTCATCAAGAAACATTGCAGATTTTGGACATGTGGGCTTCTCATCTGGTAAACATTGTATTGTGTGTATTATTGATTGTGAGAGAGTAGTTCTGGTCAATTTTGCCATGTCTGTCACCATGGATGTTGTTGGAACTGTGGTAGATGTGGATGTGGGTGTTGTTGGAGCTGTGGTAGATGTAGATGTGGGTGTTGATGGAACTGTGGTAGATGTGGATGTGGGTGTTGATGCAACTGTGTTAGATGTGGATGTGGGTGTTGATGGAACTGTGTTAGATGTGGATGTGGGTGTTGATGGAACTGTGGTAGATGTGGATGTGGGTGTTGTTGGAATTGTGGTAGATGTGGATGTGGGTGTTGTTGGAACTGTGGTAGATGTGGATGTGGGTGTTGTTGGAACTGTGGTAGATGTGGATGTGGGTGTTGTTGGAACTGTGGTAGATGTGGATGTGGGTGTTGATGCAACTGTGGTAGATGTGGATGTGGGTGTTGATGGAACTGTGTTAGATG